CAATACCTCGCGCCTTATACAGGAGCAGCTCTGGCTGAATATTTTATGTATCGTGAACGCCACACTTTAATCATTTATGATGATCCCTCCAAACAAGCACAGGCTTATCGCCAAATGTCTCTTCTATTACGAAGACCACCAGGTCGCGAAGCTTATCCCGGAGATGTTTTTTATTTACATTCGCGTCTTTTGGAAAGAGCCGCTAAATTAAGTTCTCAGTTAGGTGAAGGAAGTATGACTGCTTTACCAATAGTTGAGACCCAATCAGGAGATGTTTCAGCTTATATTCCTACTAATGTAATTTCTATTACAGACGGCCAAATATTCTTATCTGCCGATTTATTCAATGCTGGGATCAGACCCGCAATTAATGTGGGTATTTCCGTTTCCAGAGTTGGATCGGCGGCTCAAATAAAAGCCATGAAACAAGTAGCTGGTAAATTAAAATTGGAATTGGCACAATTCGCAGAATTATAAGCTTTTGCACAATTCTCTTCAGATCTCGATAAAGCCACGCAAAATCAATTGGCAAGAGGTCAACGATTGCGCGAGTTGCTTAAACAATCCCAATCAGCTCCTCTTACTGTGGAAGAACAGATAATAACTATTTATACTGGAACGAACGGTTATCTTGATTCATTAGAAATTGAACAGGTAAGGAAATTTCTCCTTGAGTTCCGGGCTTATTTAAAAACGAATAAACCTAAATTCAACGAAATCATATCTTCTACCAAGACATTCACTGGGGAAGCAGAAGACATTTTGAAGGAAGCTATTCAGGAACAGATGGAACTCTTTTTACTTCAGGAACAAGTAGAAAAAAATTGATTAAAATTTTCATACCGTTAAAAAATTTCTATCATTAGTCTCTTAAAAAAAAGAATCATAAAGATAATAAATTCACAATATATTTTTATAAATATACGAATTCAATTAATATATATGCAATTGCAATCAATTCAATATGTAATCAATTTGCGTCCAATAGGATTCGAACCTATACCAAAGATTTAGAAGACCTCTGTCCTATCCATTAGACAATGGACGCTTTTCTTTTTTTCTTTCCCTTTTCACGAAATTTTCGTGAAAAGGGAAAGAAAAAAGAATTCTATACTAAAACTAAATGAAGAAATTTACTAAATAAAAAATAGAATATAAGCGGGTAGCGGGAATCGAACCCGCATCGTTAGCTTGGAAGGCTAAGGGTTATAGTCGACGTTTATGAATGAACGTCTCTAATTCAAAACTGAACGTGAAACTTTTGTTTCATTCAGCTCCTTTACAGAATAATTTAAGAGATAGATGGAATACATGAAAAAAAGAATCCATAACATCTATGTCAGCCTTTCGGTATGAATACAATTAACGTTGCTTTTTAGATGATCCCTATAGAAAAGGAGTATTCGAACAATCTCTTTTTTTCTAGTTACTTCGTTCTCTATTTCTATTTGAGAGAATCTTTAGGAAAAGAATAAAATTTCCGTCGAGCTAAAAAAATATGTTGATGTTTCTAGTAAACTAAAAAAATCATTTCATAGCTATTTTGCTTCAATCTCTCCTATACAAAACAAATAATAAAAAAATTGGAAGATTTAGTTACGATTGGAAACGAATTTTATATATCTTTCTCCCTGGATCCTTTACTTATATTCAAAAATTGGGATTCTGGATCCAATTGCAAAAACTTATGTTTCATAATTTTAGAATCAATTCTAAATTGTATACAAATTATGATAATGTATATTATTCCTCGAATTGCTCCTTGAGAGGTATAAAGGATTAAATACCTTTAAGTAAGAAATAAAGTTTTTGATCGTGATATGAATCACGGAAGGGACCCCTTAACTATTACTATTAAGGGGTCGATAGAACGAATCGCACTTTTACCACTAAACTATACCCGCTACAATACTATTATTGTATATAAAAAGATCTTTTGTCAATATCAATACAGGAAGGGGAATCAGTCCTAATTATGAAATAGGTGCAGAATTTTATGATAAATACAGTGTTCACATGTTTCGTAAAGGGCCCCCTAATGAAATTTAGAAAAGGGGGCGAATCTCATTTTTGGATTTTGTTGAAGGTATTTTGACAGATAGATCTCGACAAAATTACTAAACGAAATTCATAAGACAAAAATGCATTGTGCAAGAATCCATAGTTCTATTTCTTTTTTTAGATACGTTAACTGATTAATTCGTATGATATACGATCAAAAAGTTATTTTTATTTTTGTTTGATCGTATTAAAATGTTTTCCTTAATTACAAGTTTCTTTCAAATCTGATACAGAAAAATAAATCATTGTGATTCATGGGAAAAAAGAGCCGTGCCAGTACCTAGCTGGACTCTGGTTGGATAAAAAAACAAACTAAAAAAAAAAGAAAAGAAAAAATTTTATATTGCGTATATATAGAATATAACTTTAGTATAGGTATAAGAAAATATAACTAATATTTATGAGTTAATATAGAATTATGAATAGTAATTAAATAAAATGATAATCAAATAGAAAAAAGATAGATAGATAAGATATATCAAATGACGATCAATATCAAATAAGATATATAGAAGGCTTTTTTGAGCCCTACTTTTTGTTCTTTTTGTTTATCCGAGGTATCATAAGCATAATAATTCAATTTTTTGAATTGGGGAGAGATGGCTGAGTGGACTAAAGCGTCGGATTGCTAATCCGTTGTACGAATTTTTGTACCGAGGGTTCGAATCCCTCTCTTTCCGTTTATTGATGATTTGGCATTTTTTTCTTTTGAACTTCTGGAATTTCTTTTTTTTTTATTCCCTGTTTGTTTCATTTTTTACTAGTTAAAGATGTAAAATAGATAGAAAAACGAAAAATATTTAAAAATCCAGCATAAGTACGGAAAAGAACAAAGATTTTCTTATTCTTCACGTCCAGGATTACGTCCTGGATCATTAGATAGGAATCCGAAGATGAAAAGAGAAACAAAGAATATCACTATTGTGTAAACAAATAGTTTTAGAGTAAGCATTACAAAATCTCCAAGATAATAAATAAAAAAACGACAGAGAAAGAGAATAGATTCTCTTGTATTTCATATTATGTTTCCTTTGATACTCAGTTTATAAGAAATGAAGTTATTTCAAAAAAACTAAAAAAATTGATTTGTAGTAAGAGTTGAGCCTTTGTTTTACCATTACCAACAATTCAATTTTCTTTCATATCCACAAGATCCACGTATTGGTGGTAGACTCAAATCGAATAATAGAATAATATAATTTTTATTTTTGAATGGAAAAAAAGGAAATGATGAGATGATCCATATTTTTATTGTCTATCCAACAATTTCAAGATTTATGATCACGGATTCACACTGTAAGACTTATCTTATTTTTAAAAATGTTAAAATTTGAGTTTTCTAATAAATTCTGACTTTTTTTTCGGACATTATTCAAATTAAAGATCTTATCGAAAACTTACAGCAGCTTGCCAAACAAAAGCTAAGAGAAAAAAGAGTAAGAGTATTACTGGCATAAAATCTACAATTGGATTCAAAAAAGCGTAAGCTTCTGGTAATTTCCCCAAGAAAAAACTACTTGAATAAAGGGCAGAGTGAATACAAATACAGACCGAGCTAAAGATATTAAGCATAACAAAAATGTTTTTCTTTAAGAAAATGAATTGTCTTTTTTCTTTTGTTTTTAATTCTAATTTTGATTGTATTTTTTTTATTATTATATAGATGATTTATTCTATATATGATATGATTTATTCTATATATGATATGATTTATTATATAATTTATTATTATTATTATCCATTTTTGTATTATACTTTTATATTAACAATGAAATATAAAATCAAAATTTTTTGATTTTATTTAGATAGAATAGAGAATATATAGAATAGAAAATGAATAATTTGAAAATCTAAAAGGATAGAATATAAAATATTGAATTCCTATTTATAGATATGAAGATTACTAAATCAGTAATAAAACGAAAAAAAAAGATGAATCAACTAAGATCAGACCCCCACTTTTTTTGATTTGAACTGAATAAGTTCAAACAATATCTTAATTGAATTCTATGGAATGATCAATAAATTTCGTTTAATTCGATATCGATACATATCAAAATTCTAGCAACAATTTATTCTATAGAATAAATTTCGAAGTGTAATTGACGAACAACTCATAATACTATTTATTAATGTCGAATCAAAATGGGGCGTGGCCAAGCGGTAAGGCAGCGGGTTTTGGTCCCGTTATTCGGAGGTTCGAATCCTTCCGTCCCAGATCATATCTATTCAAGATATATACCTATTTCAATACAAATTGTATATCCGAATAAAGATTCCTTTTTTTTTTTTAGAAATTGATTTTTTTATATTTAATTTACAAACCATGAAAATAGAATATTGACTTAATTTCGACTTCTTGACTTTAGAAATAAAATTGTATAGTCAGAAAACCTAAAACCTAGAAGTGAAAAGTATATATTATTATCTATTGATTGAGTCAATGACTATGCACGATTTCAAAATGGAATCAATTACATACCAGATTGAAACTAAAAAATAATGTTATGGTAAAACCTCGTTTGAAATGATGTAGTAAAAAGCAGCGTGGGACTTGAAAAACGTGACTATATTAGCTGCGGAGTCTTACATGCCCTATTTTCTTTATACTATCTAGTTTCTAGTATCTAGAAATAGGGATCCTCGATTTTTCGATTTGAGTGATCTATTTATTCCAAAATTCGATGCTCAACCTACCTCATATTAGGAAAAAGTCAAGAAATAAACTAATTTGGTGCATAAATACCGTAGACCAAATGAGCCTTTTTACTTCTTTGTTTTTATTCTATTCATTCATTTTTATATTAGAAATAGTTATTGATTTGATATTCAAATATAAATGATACATTTGTTCAATACTTCTTCGCTCATTATTATTATAAGTTATTAATCCTCGCAATTCTATTTCTATACTTAAGTCGATAAAAAATGATCATCGAATGACTATTCATCTATTGTATTTTCATGAAATACAAGAAAACATATTTATGGAAAGAAAGTGGTTCAATTCAATGCTGTTTAATAGGGATTTAGAATATAGGTGTGGTTTAAGTAAATCAATAGATAGTTTTGATCCTATTGAAGATAGTTTTGATCCTATTGAAAATAACGGTGTAAATGAAGACCCATCTATTTTAACTGATGACCCATCTATTTTAACTGATGACCCATCTATTTTAACTGATATGGATAATGACATTCATAGTTGGATTGAGAGTTATCTTCGTTATAAAATCTGTATTGCTAGTTACATTTTAGATGATAGTGACAACTACAATGCCAATATCAGTGACTTTAATAGTTACATTTTAGATGATAGTGACAACTACAATGCCAATATCAGTGACTTGAATAGTTACATTTTAGATGATACAAATGATAGTGATTTGTATGAAATAGAAAATTCTAATGATACAAATGATAGTGATTTTACTCCAATAGAATATTCTAATGATACAAATAATAGTAAATTTACTCCAATACAATATCCTGATGATCCAAAAGATACTTCTTATACTGAAAAATTTAAGCATTTATGGGTTGAATGCGAAAGTTGCTTTGGATTAAATTATAAGAAATTTTTTAAATCCAAAATGAATATTTGCGAACACTGTGGAGATCATTTGAAAATGAGCAGTTCAGATAGAATCGAACTTTCGATTGATCCAGGTACTTGGAATCCTATGGATGAAGACATGTTTTCTCTGGATCCCATTGAATGGGACAAACCTTATACGGAAGACGAACCTTCTACGGAAGACGAATACGACTCTTCTACGGAAGACGAATACGAATCTTCTACGGAAGACAAACCTTCTAACGAACCTTCTACGGAAGACAAACCTTCTAACGAACCTTCTACGGAAGACAAACCTTCTAACGAACCTTCGACGGAAGACAAACCTTATACGGAAGACGAATCTTCTCCGGAAGACGAATCTTCTCCGGAAGACGAACCTTCTACGGAAGACGAATACGACTCTTCTACGGAAGACGAACCTTATATAGATCGTCTTGATTTTTATCAAGAAAGTACAGGATTACTGGAGGCGGTTCAAACAGGCACAGGTCAACTAAATGGTATTCCTGTAGCAATAGGTATTATGGATTTTCAGTTTCTGGGGGGTAGTATGGGATCCGTAGTGGGTGAGAAAATAACTCGGTTGATTGAATATGCTACCAATCAACTTTTACCTCTTATTATAGTATGTGCGTCCGGAGGAGCGCGTATGCAAGAAGGAAGTTTGAGCTTAATGCAAATGGCTAAAATATCTTCTGCTTTATATAATTATCAAATCAATCAAAAGTTACTCTATGTAGCGATACTTACATCGCCTACTACTGGTGGGGTAACAGCTAGTTTTGGGATGTTGGGGGATATCATTATTGCCGAACCAAAAGCTTACCTTGCATTTGCGGGTAAAAGAGTAATTGAACAAACGTTGAATAAGGAAGTGCCTGAAGGTTCCCAATCGGCTGAAGTTTTTTTCGAAAAAGGCTTATTGGATGCAATCGTATCACGTGATTCTTTAAAGGACTTTTTAAGTGAGTTATTTGAATTCCATGGTTGCTTTCCTTGGATTGAAAATGAAAACTAATGCAGACTATCATTTTATTTATGTTTTTCAATTTTTAACTTTTCATTAATATCATAAAATGAATATCATAAAGAAATCTTCTTATTATATAAAAATGATATAAAAAGAAAATGAGAACACACAAGAGTAAAGTAATAAGATAAGAATAAAAAATAAAGATTAATTATCATGGACATATTTCTTGTAGAAATAGACAGCAAAATAAATCCAGTTATTTCGTTCGACATTCCTTATATTTAATTTAATATTCAAATTATTAAAATTAACGATTTTGATTCTTAATAAATCTTATTCCATTTTTTTCTTATGGGTTTATTCTCTTTATATACTCCATATAGAATATATATATATATATATATATATATATATATATATATATATATATATATATATATATATATATATATATATATATATATATATATATATATATATATATATATATATATATATATATATATATATATATATATATATATATATATATATATATATATATATATATATATATATATATTCATATCTATTTATTTAGCTCTACATAGTAGAATTAAAAAAATAGACTTAGTATAAGTCTATATGAATTCTAGTGATTATAGACTTTCTTTATTCCAATATAAGAAGAATCCAAATATTAATCTAACAATCAACAAAAAAGAACAGGTACAAATATGAAATTGAGGTACCCCATTTTATGATAAACTTACCATCCCTTTTTGTTCCTTTAGTAGGCCTAGTATTTCCGGCAGTTGCAATGGCTTCTTTATTTCTTCATGTTCAAAAAAACAAGATTTTTTAGATACCACAAGTTTTATATATTTTTGAAAATAGGGTTAAATTTTTTAGTTTGGATTTGTTCTTTTGTTCCATTTTTGAATAACTATTGCCTTCAATAAAAAAAAAAAAGTACTAATATTATATAAGCCTTAATAAGATAAGGAGGTTTTCATATAACAACATAAATATTAATTTAACAATCAAGAAAAAAGAACAGGTACAAATATGAAATTGAGGCACCCATTTTATGATAAACGTTTATGTGTTTTTAGTGGGCCTTGTATTAATTGTAATGTCTGCTTTATTGGTTCATGTTCCAAAATTCATTAGTTGGGGGTCAGAAAAACTTGGTTGTCGTTCACAAGACGCATGGCTTGACATTGTACCGGGGTCCCGAAAAATTATCAATTTATTCTGGGCGTCTTTCACTCTTTTAGGTTCATTAGGAGTTTTATATATTTCAGTTTCCAGTTATTATGGGAGGGATTTTTTCTCTTTCATTTCGTCCGAATTTGTCATTCCTTTTTTGACACAAGGAGTCACGCTGACTTTCTATGGAATTGCCGGTCTCTTTCTAAGTTTACATTGGTGGCTTCTAATTTTTTGGAATGTGGGGAGTGGCTATAATTTTTTCGATAAAAAAAATCGAATGGTATGTTTTTTTCGTTACGGATTTCCTGGAACATATCGTCGTATTTTTCTCCGAGTTCGTATGGAAGATATTCAGTCCCTCATACTACAAGCTAACCCAGAACCTAGTAGTGGTGTCCTTTATATGCAAACCAGAGAACAGGGGACCATTCCCTTGACTCCTGTTGATGATAGGACTCCATGCAACGTTATACAAAAAGCTTGGGACTTGTCCAGATTCTTGAGTGTACCAATGGAAATCGTTCCATATTCTTGAGTATACCAATGGAAATCGATGTATCCAAACAATTTCATTTTTAATTCATAGCTTTTGAAACACTTTTTTTCTTCTTCATTCAAATTGGCAATGGCTTATTTCGTTTTCTTATTTGATTTCTGTATTCTTTTGGATTCTTTTTTCAAATTGAAGGAAAAAGAAACTAACCTCCGAATTACAAATAAAAAGAATAGCTTCTCAATTTCTATGAAAAAATTATAAATTGATATATTCTAGGCTAAGCTCTATTACTTGTATTTACTTGTAATAGAACTTATGCTTGATAGAAAGATTATTATTATATATAGTTGAAAAATGAGATGAAACTGAGTTCATTAAATACGAAAAATGGCAAAAAAGAAAGCATGCATTCCCCTTCTATGTCTTACATCTATAGTCTTTTTGCCCTGGTGCATCTCTTTTACATTTCAGAAAAGTCTGGAATCTTGGATTACTAATTGGTGGAATATGAAAGAATCCGAAATTGTCTTGAATACTATTCAAGAAAAAAGTATTTTAAAGAAATTGCTAGAGTTCGAGGAACTGTTCCTCTTGGATGAAATGCTAAAGGAATACCCGGAAACACGTTTACAAAACCTTCGTATCGAAATCTACAAAGAGACCATCCAATTGATCGAGACGAACAACCTAGATCGTATCCATACGATTTTCCATTTCTGTACAAATATAATCTGTTTCCTTATTCTAAGTGGTTATTCTATTCGAGGTAATCAAGAACTCATTATTCTTAACTCTTGGGTTCAAGAATTTCTATATAACTTAAGTGACACAATAAAAGCTTTTTCTATTCTTTTATTAACTGATTTTTGTATAGGATTCCATTCGACTCAGGGTTGGGAACTAATGATTGGGTCTGTCTATAAAGATTTTGGATTTACTCCGAATGATCAGATTCTATCTTGTCTTGTTTCGATTTTTCCAGTCATTTTAGATACTATTTTTAAATATTCTATTTTCCGTTATTTAAATCGTGTATCTCTGTCGCTTGTAGTCATTTATCATTCAATGAAGGAATGAAAAAACGACCCACTGATCCAATTCTAAAATTTGTTTTTTGTATAGAAAAGCTAAACATTTAAAATTGAACTTATTCGTTTTCGTTTTACTCGTATTCTTCCTATATTATAGGAAAAGAATTGGAGTAAATAGCAGAATCATGGATAGGGAACTGTGCCAGTAACCTACCTAATCTTATTGTAGAAATTTTCAGGATCAATGATTGGACCATGCAAACTAGAAATGCTTTTTCTTGGATAAAGAAAGAGATTACCCGATCCATTTCCGTATTGCTCATGATATATATAATAACTCGAGCACCCATTTCAAATGCATATCCTATTTTTGCCCAACAAGGTTATGAAAATCCTCGAGAAGCTACCGGCCGGATTGTATGTGCTAATTGCCATTTAGCTAATAAGCCCGTAGATATTGAGGTTCCACAAGCGATACTTCCCGATACAGTATTTGAAGCAGTTGTTCGAATTCCTTATGATATGCAAGTGAAACAAGTTCTTGCTAATGGTAAAAAGGGGGCTTTGAATGTGGGAGCTGTTCTTATTTTACCAGAGGGTTTTGAATTGGCCCCTCCCGATCGTCTTTCGCCCGAGATTAAAGAAAAGATAGGTAATTTGTCTTTTCAAAGCTATCGTCCCACAAAAAAAAATATTCTTGTGATAGGCCCCGTTCCTGGAAAAAAATATAGTGAAATTACCTTTCCTATTCTTTCTCCAGATCCCGCTACTAAGAGAGATGTTTACTTCTTAAAATATCCTATATACGTAGGCGGGAACAGGGGAAGGGGTCAGATTTATCCCGACTGAAGCAAGAGTAATAATAATGTTTATAATGCTACAGCAACGGGTGTAGTAAACAAAATAATACGAAAAGAAAAAGGTGGATACGAAATAACGATAGTAGATGCATCAGATGGATGTGAAGTGATTGATATTATACCGCCAGGACCAGAACTTCTTGTTTCAGAGGGTGAATCTATCAAACTTGATCAACCATTAACGAGTAATCCTAATGTGGGTGGATTTGGTCAGGGGGATGCAGAAATAGTGCTTCAAGATCCGTTACGTGTCCAAGGTCTCTTGCTCTTCTTGGCATCTATTATTTTGGCACAAATTTTTTTGGTTCTTAAAAAGAAACAATTTGAGAAGGTGCAATTGTCTGAAATGAATTTTTAGGAATGTCAATTTATCAACATATTAAGCTGGTAAAAAGAACTCCATTTTTGTTGATAAATTCTGTGTAAAGACCTTTGGTTCTTGGTTTTTTTTCAACTGCACAATTAATTCGAACCATATGATTATGTCGCTGATTATGTCGCTGTTTTCACATTTTCATGTCCTAGAATAGAAATATTAGAATTTATATTGTAATAGAATGAAATTCGACTCGATACTAAACCTAAAAAAATAGGTAGGTAGATAATATTAAGTAAAGTAGAAAAAGGGAAAACAGGATTCTAGGATGGATAATTTGTCTTTTCCTAGAGTCCAATTCCTTCTTGTTTATGTCGAAATCGATACGTAGTTAAGGAATGGACAAACAAAAAAGACCGGGAATTGAATTCAGCAAATACAACTTTCTTAATTCACTTCAAAAAAAGAATTTAATCATGAGTCTATATTAGAAATAGATTTCTAGTAAGATTCTGTTAGTATCAAAAAGGTTTGGTTCTACAGAATATTTTTTATGTTTAATAGAGTATTAAATATAGTATATAGTTCCCTATTCTTACAGGGAAGATCCTAAAAAAAGGAAATGGAATTTTTTGAAACATACAATAAAGTTATCTATTGACTCACTGACAAAAATATTCTGATTATGAAGAACTCAACGGGACCCCTTCGAATTCATCAAAGAAAGAGTGGATCCCCGTTGAGTTCTTATGCTTTCATTTCGAAAACTAAATTTATCCGATTATTACAGGGATGATCCCAATCCGGAATGTGAACCATAAAAGAAAATACCAATTAAACCGATCACAACAATACCAGCTACAGTACCTATTATCCAAAGAGGAATTCTTCCAGTAGTATCGGCCATTTATCCCACTTTCCTCCACATTTGATCAAGTAGTCAGTCATACTAGAGACCTAAACAGTCATAGATAATTATGAAATGATATCCTTCCGAATGGGATAAGAGAATTCCTAATATATAAATACTATTCTCTTTTCTTCAATTAATTGAAAAAATAATTTGAAAATAAAACATCAAGTACAAAAATGAGTAATAAACCCCAGTATAGACTGGTACGATTCAATTCAACATTTTGTTCATTTGGGTTTGATTGTGTCGTAGCTCTATAATTCGGATTAGGTTTATCGTTGGATGAACTGCATTGCTGATATTGATCCCAAAAAAGAAACGGTAGGTACCGCTAGTCCGTGAACAGCCAACCATCGTACTGTAAAAATGGGATAGGTCCTATCTATGGTCATTGGAGCCTCCTAAAAAGATCTACTAAATTCATCGAGTTGTTCCAAAGAATCAAAACGGCCGGTTATTAAAGGAATTCCTTGTCGGCTTTCTGTAAAATACTCGTTTGGACGGGGGCTTCCAAATACATCGTAAGCTAAACCCGTGCTGACAAATAACCAACCCGCAATGAATAGGGAGGGTATAGTAATGCTATGAATAATCCAGTATCGAATACTGGTAATAATATCAGCAAAAGAACGTTCTCCTGTGCTTCCAGACATGCCGAGCTCCACATATTCTTATACAGTCAAAGGGGGATCGATTCCATAAAAGATCAGATCAGTAAGTAGAAATTTACTGAAATTTTCAATCTTTGTTACGATCGTCAATCGTGTACCAAGGGTCTCGTTCCAGTATACCAAATCAGTATAGCTATCCTTCTTCTAACACAGCAACGAAATTTCACAATAAGTGACGAGATCGAGTACTACAAAAGAAAATTTCTTTTTTTCCTGGTTGTTTGTTTCGATGTACTGAATCGAAAATTCCTCAAAGTTTAAGACTATATATATGGACTTTATATTATTTATATTATATATATACGTTATATTATATATAATTATATAAATAAATAAAACAATTTTCCTTCGATTAGTTTACTCAACTCATGTCATGAGTTGATCAAGAAATCTGTTGATTTGGAATCACAGGTTGGGTAGATGTCACAGATGATGAATTGATTTTTTACCTATGTAACTATATTTTTCTTTTTGTTTGTCCGTAATAATTGATTCATGAATCAATTCTTTTCCATTGTATCTTTCAAGTGGTCTTTTTTGCTTCTTTTCCTATTTTTATCTAAAAAAAAAATGGAAACTTAGGAAAGTGCTTTATAAACATATGTATAAAAAGAATATATTTCATCTAGTTTCCTTATGTCCACTCTAACCAGTTATTTCGGTTTTCTACTAGCGGTTTTAACTATAACCGCAGGTATTTTTATCAGTCTGAATAAGATACGACTTATTTGATTTGCAATTTTGAGAGAAATTTGGAAATTGTAGATATTCTATAGTTCCTTATCATATTTCCAATTCTTGGTCATTGAGATTCATGGTCAATATAAATTCATATTTAAGGATCGATATTACCCCCACCTTTTTTACTTTCAACCAAACTCAAATGATTGAAGTTTTTCTATTTGGAATCGTGTTAGGTCTAATTCCTATTACTTTGGCTGGATTATTTGTAACGGCCTATTTACAATACCGACGTGGCGATCAGTTGGATATTTGATTTAGTACTGTCTCTTTTGTTTATTGACTTCCTATTTTTTTGTTTGAATCCTAATTCACAGGAGATCAAATTAACACTTTTGATTAGACTTAGACTGTTATCCCATTATTTTAGTCTCATTCTCAGAAGAATGGTATCACGCTCTGTAGGATTTGAACCTACGACATCGGGTTTTGGAGACCCGCGTTCTACCGAACTGAACTAAGAGCGCTTTCTTTTCCTAAATAATTTGATGTGATGGCAATATATCT